GATCATGAGGTTTAAGGAAATAAGCCATAATGTGTTAAAGTGCAAGGTGTTAGAAATTGCAGCAAATTTCTCAGAAGATCTAGCTAAGGTAAATAATGAAAGTAGCTACACTAAACAACAGATGAAACCACCTCATACTGAAAGAAGATGCCGTCTAGAACTTGCACAGCTACAGAGGCGAAATCAGTGCCTGGCTTCAAACGACAGCTGACTCTCTTGTTAGGAGTTAATGCAGCTGATGATTTCAAGTGGAAGCTAGTGCTTATTTACCATTCTGAAAATCTCATGGCCCTTAAGAAAGATGCTAAATCTACTTTGCTTGTGCTCTGTAAATTAAGTGACAAAGCCTGGATGACAGTGCGTCTGTTTACAACGTGAATTATTTAAGCCCACTGTTGAGATCTACTGCTCAGGAAAAAAAAAAGGCTTCTTTCAAAATATTGCTCAGAGACAATGTACCTGGTCACCCAAGAGTGATGGAAGTTTACAGTGAGATTAATGTTGTTTTCATGCCTGCTAACACAGCATCCGTTCTGTAGCCTGTGGATCAAGGCAAAACTTCTAGCCCTATTCAACTTTTTGAAGTGCTGGTTGTGCGATGCGCAGTCGGTCATTGTCATGGAAGAGAATTGGGCCCTCTTTCTGTTGACCAGTGCTGGCTGTAGGCACTGCAGTTTTGGTTGCATCTCATTGATTTGCTGAGCATCCATTCTGCAGCCTGTGGATCAAGGCAAAACTTCCTAGCCCTCAACTTTTTGAAGCGTTGGTTGTGCGATACGCAGTCGGTCACTGTCATGGAAGAGAATTGGGCCCTCTTTCTGTTGGCCAATGCCGGCTGTAGGCACTGCAGTTTTTGTTGCATCTCATCGATTTGCTGAGCATACTTTAAAGATGTAATGGTTTTGCTGGGATTCCGAAAGCTGTAGTGGATCAGACAGGCAGCAGACCACCAAACAGTGACCATGATCTTTTTTCTGTGCAAGTTTGCCTTTGGGAAGTGCTTTAGGGCTTCTCAGTCCAGTCACTGAGTTGGTTATCGCTGGTTGTTGTATAAAGTCTACTTTTCATTGCACATCACAATCTGATGAAGAGAAGGTTTGTTATTGTATAGATTAAGAGAAAAAGACACTTCAGAAGGACAGTTCTTTAGATTTGTGGTCAGCTCATGCTGCTGCTGCTAAGTCACTTCAGTCGTGTCCAACTCTGCGGACCCCATAGACGGCAGCCCACCAGGCTGTGCCGTCCCTGGGGTTCTCCAGGCAAGAACGCTGGAGTGGGCTGCTATTTCCTTCTCCAGTGCATGAAAGCGAAAAGTGAAAGTGACGTCGCTCAGTCGTATCTGACTGTTCAAGACCCCATGGACTGCTGCCTACCAGTCTCTTCTGTCGATGGGATTTTCCAGGCAAGAGTACTGGAGTGGGCTGCCATTGCCTTCTCCAGGTCAGCTCATGAGGGACCCATTTATCAAGCTTTTTCACCTTTCCAATTTGCTGCAAATGCTGAGTGACCGCAGAACAGTTGACCTTCTTCAGCAGCGTCACGTGTAGTTGCAAGAGGATCAGCATTGGTGATTGCTCTCGGTTGGTTGTCAGCTTTCCATGGCTGTCCTCTGTGCTCCTTACCATCAGGGCTCTCGTCTCCTTTGCAAAACTTCTTGAACCACCACTATTGTACGTTAATTAGCATTTCTGGGCCAGATGTGATGCTGATGTTGCCAGTTGTCTCCACTGCTTTATGATCTATTTTGAACTCATAAGAAAATCACTCAAATTTACTTTTTGTCTAACATCATTTCCCTGGTCAAAAATAAAATACGGTAAAGAACCCACCTGCCAATGCTGAAGGCTCAAGAATTGTGGGTTCAGCCCGTGGGTTGGGAACATCCACTGGAAAAAGAAATGGTAACCCGCTTCAGTATTCTTGCCTGCAGAATCCTCCGGACAGAGGAGCCTGACAGGCTGTGGTCCATCTGGTTGCGAAAAGTCAGATACGTCAGAAGTGACTTAACATGCACACAATAAGTCATTAGCAAAAAGACAAAGCAAGAAATGTGCATTGAAATGATGTATAAGTTAACCACCTTTATTTAGGAAAGTATTCCAATGTCAAATGGCAGATTTCAACAATGCAAAATCTGCAGGTACTTTTGCAGCAGCCAGTTGTTGTTCCTTCACCCAGTCATGTCCGACTTCTTGCGACCCCATGGACTGCTCCCCTGTCCCTCACCATCTCCCAAAGTTTGCCCAAGTTCATGTCCATTGCATCGGTGATGCCATCCAGCTGTCTCATCATCCTCTGATGCCTTTTCTTCTGCCCTCAGTCTTTCCCAGCATCAGGGACTTTTCCAGTGAATTGGCTGTTCGCATCAGATGACCAGAATACTGAAGTTCATCTTCAGCATCAGTCCTTCCAACAAGTATTCAGGGTTGATTTCCCTTAAGATTGACTGATTTTATCTCTTTGCTGTCTGAGGGACTTTCAGGAGTCTTCTCCAGCACCACAGTTGGAAGGCATCAGTTCTTTGGTGTTCTGCCTTCTTTACGGTCCAGCTCTCACAACTGTACGTGACCGCTGGGAAGACCATAGCTCTGATGATACAGACCTTTGTTGACAGAGTAATGTCTCTGGTTTCCACCACACTGTCTAGATTTGTCATAGCTTTCCTTCTAAGAAGCAGTCGTCTTCTGATTTCATGGCTACAGTCACCATCTGCAGTGATTTTAGAGCCAAGAAGAGGAAATCTGTCATTACTTCCACCTTTTCCTCTTCTATTTGCCATGAAATAATAGGGCCAGATGCCATGGTGTGTTTTTTTTTTTAATTTTTTTTTTAATCTGGCTCTTTAACTCTTCTCCTTCATCCTCATCAAGAGGCTCTTTAGTTTCTCTTTGCTTTCTGCCATTAGAGTGGTATCATCTGCATGTCTAAGGTTGTTGATATTTCTCCTTCCAATCTTGACTCCAGCTTGTAACTCATCCAGCCAGGTGTTTTTCATGATGTGCTCAGCATATAGGTTAAACAAACAAGGCGACAGCAGACAGCCCTGTCATACTCCTTTCTCAGTCTTGAACCAATCAGTTGTTCCATAGAGGATTCTACCGGTTGCTTCTTGACCTGCATACAGGTTTCTCAGGAGACAGATAAGATGGTCTGGTACTCCCATCCCCTTAAGCGCTTTCCACAGTTTATGATGATCCACACAGTCGAAGGCTTTGGTGTAGTCAGTGAAACAGAGGTGGATGTTTTTCTGGAATTACCTGGCTTTCTCTGTGACCAGCGAATGTTGGCAGTTTGATCTCTGGTCCCTCTTCCTTCTCTAAACCCAATTTGGACATCTGGAAGTTCTTGGTTTACATAATGCTGAAGCTTAACATGCAAGATTTTAAGCATGACCTTACTAATGTGGGAGATGAATGCAGTTGTCTGATGGTTAGCATATTCTGTAGTACTACCCTTCTTGGGAATTGGGATGAAGATTGACCTTTTCCAGTCCCATGGCCACTGGAATCTGCAGTTACTTTTGCACCAACGTAATAGCAATAAAATGTTTTTTATTAAGGTATGCATATAATTATTTAGACATTGCTGTTGTAAACTTAATAGACTCTAAGTATGATGTGAACATAACTTTTTTGCATGCACTAGAAAAACAAATTTGTATGACTTGCTTTATTGTGATAGCTACTTTGTTGCAGTGGTCTGGAACTTGACCTGGGATCTCTCTGAGGTCTGCCTGTGCTGTATTTCTCTTGTCTTTATTCATTTGCTGTCTCTGTAACGTGTGTGTTGGCTGACTTCTGCTTGTTTCTATCTCCATTCCAGTTAAAATGTCGCTTTGTATGCGACCCCCTCTCCCTCAGGCCACCACCACCCTTAACTATATTCCCGGAAGAGCATTCATCATATAATTGTTTGTTTACTTTTGTCTTGTTTGTTATCCCACTAGAATCGGTGAGGTGAGTGAATGCATATGTAGCTCACTCAAGTGTGTTTGTGATAAGAAGTTTTATATTCCATGCAGTCTGCCTCAATGTCGTGAAAGTTTTTAAGTTTTAGAACATGAGGTAGTCTGTGCATTGAGGTACCTTCTGAGATCTTTTAGGTCACTTTTTAGAAGCTGTTTTATTTTTTATTATGAGCTATTCAACTTTACAGGAAAAAGGATTCAATAAACTGTAAATCTTATATTGTCTTCCTTTAAAGATGTCTGTCTATAATTACTTGTCCCAGTGAAGACACAGAGGTTCTGAACTGCTGCTGCTGTTAAACTCTGGTAGGGATCAGGGAATCTGTGATTTAAGAAAAAGAATCAGTCTTTTTCAGTTAAAATATCAGGAGAAGTGTGCATTTAAATCTATTTTGTGTCTGACTTTTTCATTTAGCACTGTGTTTTCAAGGTTCATCCCTGCTGTAGCGTTTATCAGTACTTTGTAGCTGTGTCCTATTTATACTAAATTTTGTTTATCCATTGTTTATTCATTCATTGGTGAACATTTGGATTGTTTCCACTTTGGGGGTATTATGAGTAATGCTGCTGTGAACATTTGTTTGCAAGTTTTTCTATGAGCATGTGTTTTTACTTTCCTTGGATATGCACCTAGGAGAGTAATTTTGGGTTATAGGCTGACTCTAACTCTTCGAGGAACTACCAAACTGTTCAGTAGTTTTCTTGATAATTTTTACTTAGACAGTTTGGTAGGAGAATGAAGATTACAATTCTAATATTCAGTATTTCCTTCCTGTAAGAATATCATGTTCTTATAAAGAAAATTTCAAAGACTTGTTTATTGAATGTCTTTGTAAGTGTCTCTGTTAAGTGAACAGTGTCCTACCTAAGGATGAAGTTAGTTGTCATGTTTTATAGAAATTCTTTAGTTTTCCTCATTTTCAGACTGAAGGATCTGTTCATATTCCATTGGACCATACACATGCATAAGTTGTCATTGAGTCTCTCTTTCAATTATTAATCTGTTCTCTTTGTTGGATTGCTTCTCTTGCAGGGTTTTGACTCTGGGAGGAGGGCTGCCTTATTTGGAGCACCTTAATCTCTCTGGTTGTCTTACTGTAACTGGTGCAGGCCTGCAGGACTTGGTTTCAGCATGTCCTTCTCTAAATGATGAATACTTCTACTACTGTGACAACATTAACGGTAATGCCTTTTTTAACAATGAGATAATTTTGGAGGAGTTGATTTAACACTTTTTAACAGTTCTGATAATACTTAGGATTTCTGTTGTGTTTTCTAGATTTCAAATTACCACACATTTTTGTAATTTGAGATTTAGTCCTTTTCTAAATGTGAGCTTTTCTTATGGAGCGAGATTTCAGCTATCCATTCTACCAGATTTTAGAAATATGTAATAGTTTAATCAATCCAGAGGGGCAAGTTTTTGTAGAATTACTTAAGTTCTTATAAAATTTTGGGAATTTCTTCTAGTGAAAGAGCACTCATTAACGGTAGAGAGGTACTGATGTTCTCGATAATGTGCAGTTCTTAGGGATGATAGTTTTCTTGTAGGGCAAGAAAGCTTCATAGTATAGTAGAAAAAGGAAGACTTGGGTGATGTGAGCTTCTCAGGGACCCTGAGTCTGGTTCCAGATAAACCTCTTGGAAGATGGAGGAGGATGGTGAGTGTGGTAATGGGAAGAGACTGAGATGCTTTAAATGTGACTAAAATCCCTATAGTATTTTGGAGATTGAGTCCTGCACTTTCTTTAACAGCATCAGGTAAATATTTCTTGATGTTTTGTTTTGTTTTGTTTTGTTTTTTAAGCCTATTCCTACCCTGCAGAGGGACTGTTTAATGTGCTTTTTCAAAGTACATTCACTGCCCTGTTGGTCATCTGGTAATCGCTGGTGGACACTGCAATTCAGAAGTCCTGAAGCATAAGCAAATCAACCTCCTGTATTTCTAACTGGGAAAAGTTTACATGGTTCAGATTCTGCTGTGTCTTTTTGCATCATATATTGTTATTTTTGAGAGTCCAATTTCATCTTAAGATCATGGGAAGATCAACTGAGTTTCTCTCAGGCAGAAAACTGGACAGAGGCCAGGAAGACTTAGAGGAATGGTATCTTCTTGAATGGCAGCCTAGTAGGCAGAGAAGTTAGCAAATCTCCTGTTTCTCAGATGAGGTTTTTCTTAAAATATGTAGGACAAGACAGGAGGTGGCAGCTCTTTTGTTTCTGGAATCACATGGGTGATGTAGGAGATGACCGCCTGTGTTCTGGAAATAGCAGCTCTAAGTTGGAGCATTTCTTTGCTCTTCATTGCCTGTGGTATATGATAAGAATGGTGAAAGTGAATGTTATATTGGTTGCAACCTGCTAAGTGTATGAAAGAAAGTGTGATTGCTGTGGTGGCGCATTTGCTGCTTCGGGAGTTTGGGAAGAGTTTTACTTATTCATTTTTTTTGTATAGTTATGTCATTGTAGTTTCACCATTGTGTTTACTAAGGCTTATACATTATGAGAAGTAATCAATAAGCAATTATTTTTTGTAGGAAAAATATCTTAATTGGTAGTATAATACATTTGATTTCTCTACATTGATTTCACCATAGGTTATACTTACGGGAATAAATCTTTGAACCTAATTTGTTATACTTATTTTGGGGTATGTAGATATTATTGGGTTGGTGGGGGGATTGGGTTTCACTTCATTTTTATGACCTGCCTGCTTCTTTTGCATGTATATTTTTTAAAACTTGTTAGTATGTTAGAAATTCTTTCATTTTGACCTATTTTGAATATATAAATATTAAAGTGTTCCATAGGAGGTGCTATATTCCTTTTGTTGAATGTTTGTTGAATTTCTTTTGTTAAGATTTTTTTCTTTTTTATAAAATGAGTGGTAATTTTCAATAAGCCAATTTTAATGAACATATCTGTCTTGTTAAAGGGTTTGAAACAAAATAGACAGTGCTTGTATAATCGAATACCAAGTCTCCTTTTACAGCTTCTTAAAGCATGATTTGGGGGAAATGGAAATCCTTCAAAATTTACAGGGTGACTTGTCATATGAATTTATAATATGTTCCAGAGTTCCAGCCAGTTGCTCTTAAAGCAGTACTCCGATAACAGTCTTTTTCTTAAAGGATATTTTGACAACCTAGAAAGTGTTAAATAAAGTTGCCTTGCTTCCAGCTTTGCAAGATGACGTGGGGCTGATCCAGTATCTTCCATCACAGTTCAGCTTGTATAGTAAATATTTAGTGACTGTGTCATGGCTCCCTTTTTGTTATTATTGTTATTAGTTTTGAAAGTAGCCAGTATTTTTATACATGTTCTTAGACTAATAGGGGGCATATTCAGGTGACACATTTTGTTTTAGTATTTGAGAATAACACAGTGAAAATTCATTTTGTCAAGAGTTTATTTCCATAGTTAACTACCAGGTTACTACTAAAAGAAGTAAATACTGATAAATAGTGTTCATTAAATAAATGATAAATGAAGCAAAATTTTCTGTTTCCTAAACCTTAGCAGAGATTTTGGAGAAGATAAATTAATTATCAAGCATTGTCTCCTGTGAGCAAGACACTGTACTAAGCATTGACATAAAATGACATTTTTGTTCTTCTGAATGATTCTTCATGACATTTAAATTTGTTTTTGGATTGACACAAAAGTTAAGATTTAAGTATAAAGAAGATTTAGCCTTGACATTTAAAAAATTCTTTGTCGTTTAAGAAGCAGTAGATGGAATTGCATAATTTTAGAGCTCTGAAGAACATCTGAACAATGATAGCACATAAGCTTTTTGTACTGATTTGCATTTCAGTGTATGTTTATGAATTGAGAGGTTAGCTCATAGTAGGTGACACAGTCTCAGATGATTTGCTCTCTTATGTTTCTAATTTAAGTTAAAAGGAATTTTAAAGGTAAGTGAAGGTAAGTGCAGATACACAGCATAAATAATGTGCTTAAAATCTAAGAAAAACAAATAATTCAGTAATAAAACTTGGGAAGATAATGATAGCTAACATTATAGCTCTTCTCTAATATTTTAAAGAATGTTTTCTTATGAAGTTTATTTTTACCATGCATTTAAAGATTTTATTTGCTGATTATGCAAATGTTATTTTTCTGTTTATTATCTGCTGTAACTTACCCCTCACATATTAAAACCATTGGGTTGTTTTTTAAATCTCACATCAAGATCGGTATTTACTGGTGATAAGTCCAGTGTTTACCTTTTGAATTCCATGTCTGTGTAAGTGCATCTAGAGATCCTTGGCAACCCAGCATATCTTAGTCCTGTTTCTTTCTAATTCTACCTCGCTTTTTCTGTGGCTTATTTATTCTCCTGTCCATTTATTCCCTTTTCTGAACAGCCCTCTGATACTGAAGCATCTTAACTGTTTATGTTGCTTATGACTTTTATGCTTTGGAAATTGCTGTTCACCCCTGTTTCCAATAGTATGAAACTAACTTAAAAACAGTGGTTGTCTTTACCTTTGCTTTGCTGTAGGCTTTCAACAAAATAAAATCCATTCAAGGATGAATCCACTTCTATGGATTATTAGGATCAGTCATCTGGAGTATCATTGACCTTTCAATGGGGCTGTAGTTTTGAGGTAGTGTTACAGTTATTGGCTAATAAGTACAGTTATGCCCTTAGACTTCCATTGAAACTCAGACAGATATCCTAGTGTGTGTTTGAGAAAGGGAACCCATTTTATATCATTGTGAGCAATAACTTTGTGACGAGTAAGGAGAGACTGACAGGCATCAGGACAGGGTTATTCTCTACCTAATGTAGGGCACGTATTTTAATTTCTGCATTTTCCTTCCTCTCTTAGCCCTACTGCCATCCCTGAGACGTTGAGAGCAAAGCGACTCAGGTCTCCAGGGTGAGCACTGAGGATACTGGGCCTCTGTGTTTTGGCAAGAATGATGAAAAACTGTGTGGTATAGGCTTTCCTCGAAGATATTGCAAGTTTGGTTCCAGAACACCATAATAAAGGAACATTGCAATAAAGTGAGCCACATGAATATTTTGGTTTCCCAGTGTATGTAAAGTTATGTCTGCACTATACTGTAGTCTATTAAGTGCAATAGGTTTATGTCTAAAAAAGCAATGTACATAATTTAAAAAATGCTAGCCATGAAAAAAAAATGCTAGCCATCATCTGAGCCTTCAGAAGAACAGTCATGGTAGTACATCAAAGAGCACTGACCATAACAAATGTCATGATAATGAAAAAGCTTGAAATACTGTGAGAGTTACCAAAATGTGACACTGAGACAGTTCAGTTCAGTTCAGTCTCTCAGTTATGTCCGACACTTTGTGACCCCATGGACTGCAGCACGCCAGGCTTCCCTGTCCCCCACCAACTCCCAGCGTTTAATCAAGCTCATCTCTACTGAGTCGGTGATGCCATCCAACCATCTCATCCTCTGTCGTCCCTTTCTCCTCCTGCCTTCAATCTTTCCCAGCATCAGCGTCTTTTCCAATGAGTCAGCTGTTGCTTCAACATGAGACAAGGAGGGAGCAAGTGCTGTTGGAAATAGTGTCAGTAGACGAGCTCAGTGCAGGGTGGCCACAGACTTTTAGTTTGTGAAAAATGCAGTATCTGCTAAGTACAGTAAAGCAGATCACAGTTAAATGGAATATACCTGTGTTTGGAAAAGAGCAAATCTTCTGAGTGGCATCCTTGATCCACTTGGCTCCTACGAGGCTCCCTTTTATTTTCTCTCTTGCAAACCAGTAGATACTTTATTTCATTGCTTTCAGCCATTGCTTAGGACTTTTTCCTAGGCCACTTTTGATTTCAGTATAAAATTTCTTCTTTACCTTTCTATCCTTTTAAAGAAAACAGGAGTATAGACATTTTGAAGTATTACAGGGAGTTTCATTTTGGAGTACTACACCGAAGTCTCCATGTCTCTTTCCTTGTATTTCTCCCTTTCAGAAAAGTTAGAATTATACACTGAGAAAATGATAGTTGGATGTGTTTTTGTAAAAGCCGCCAGTATCAGCATTGCGTCACAGGGACTGTGTCAGGGCGGGGCAGTGGTAATGAGGCAGGGCCCTGGGCCTCGGAGAAAGGTGCCCCTCCGCGACTGGCGGGCTGAGCAGTGACCAGAGGAAGGGGGCAGGAACGAGGGCTCAGAAAGGGAGGTGGGGAGGGTGAGTTAAAGCCGAAGATGTGCTCAAAGGGGACACCTGGTCAGATGCTGTCAGTGTGAGGAGGTTTTCAAGCCAGAGGAGTCCTTCCTAGGGCGTTTGGAATATCTTACAACATGCACTAAGAGACTTCACTTTGACTCTGTGATTAAGATTGCTAGATTGTGTCTTAACGAGAAAATAATCTTAACAAAAGTGCTGCTTTGTGAATTTTAAGTTTTGACACATTCGACTTTTTATTTTAAAAGAACACATTTTAATTTTAATTACGTAAAAAATAGGCTTTGTGGTAATTCAGTTTTATATTTAAAATGATTTGAGACTTAAAGTTATGGAAAATTTCAAACATATAAACATAATAATACAGTGAAGCCTATGTATCATTGGCTTCAGCAATTATACACCTGAGGCCAGTCCTCTTTGATAGACCGTTGTGCATTCCCTTATTTCCTCCCCATATCCAGACATAATATTACTTTAAAAATTAAACATAAGTATTTGGAGATAAATGAAATCATCAGCTATTGCAGCTCCACCATGGTTGTAAAGCCCATTTGTTTCTTTTCCTAAAGATACATTATTTTCATAGTGAGCTATATGAATGCTGTACTTTTTTGTATATCCTAAGAAATTAATCTTTCTTATTTTGTATATTGCCATTTCAAGAATAAAAAGAATAGTTAAATTCTGGGAAATAGGTGTGTTCTGGGTGTTGATTTGCAAATTGTTATTTTCTTATGTTGCTATTAGTATAATCACTTTCTTTTGCAATGGTTTGGTACTTCAAAAAACAAAATGAAACTAAGTTAGCCTATTTTTCTGAGTTAGTCTTGGTATCATCCCAGAGTACTATGATTTTTCAGGTTTAATCCTTTTTATAAAATGTTATTTTCTACAATAAAATTATATTTCTTGTATGATGTATTTTTATGGCCCTTAGTATTACAAATGCAAGTATTTTGGTTCTAATTGATGAGTAAAGAACTAATTAACTTTGTTCATGGTGCAGACGTACTGAAAAGCTTCAATATGGTTAAAATGTCTTTTTCCACATTTGCTTGCCTTTATAAAACTATGATTCATTCAGAGTACTTAACATTTTAATATATGCCATGTTCTCTCTTTGACACTTTCTAATTCTCAGCTGCGTTCCCTAATGCATCTTTTAGTCTAGTGTCTTGAATTGCATAATGTGATTGGAATAAAATATCAGTTATTCCACAGATGTTTTATTGCTTTGTTTGTAATTGAATCACAACTTTTATTATGTTTTAGATGTGTTTTTAATTATTTATTCATTGCATACTTAATTCTGGAAAGTAATTTAACCATAGCACATGATTTATTTTGGGGAACAGATGTTAAATAACAATATGGCAAACATGTTAAGGCTAGGTCTACATAGTTTATTTTGAACAGAAATTTTGAATATAGTATTTATTGTAATTGCTGAATAGTGGTTTCTTTAGCTTATCTATTACAGATGAGGTTGTTTTTGCCTTAATACTATTTCTGGGAAGGATGTTCATGGTGTAAGAGGTCCATTGTTCACTTAGCCTGGCAGTCTTGCTTCTGTGAGTTATCTCGCGTTAGATTTTTTGTTTGTAGGATTATTGCCAACAAAATTATTTCTTTTCCTTCTTCCTTTTCATTTACCTGTGTTAGTTAAAGTTAAACTGCTTTTGGTGACTTTTGTGCTGAAAAAATTTTTATACACTCATGGTGGGATTTCATTTCTATGCTATAAATGTATTACCAGTAAAAATAATCAGTGTTTTACAGTTCTTTAACTAGCAAGCTTACTTTTATGTGATGAGAATTTCCTCCTTTCACACTTCTCTGTTTTCACGCAGGTCCACATGCTGACACCGCCAGCGGATGCCAGAACCTGCAGTGTGGTTTTCGAGCCTGCTGCCGCTCTGGCGAATGACCCTTGACTTCTGACCCTTGTCTACTTCATTTAGCTGAGCAGGCTTCCTTTCATGCACTTTACTTATAGCACATTTCTTGTGTTAACCATCCCTTTTTTGAGTGTGACTTGTTTTGGCCCCATTTCTTACAGCCCCAGAAATCTTAATTTACCAGTGAATTGTACAGTGTTGTTTCTCTTTGCAAATCGTATTTTTGTTTTAGAAAGGGATTAGATCTTTTCATAGGGTGAGAACAGTTTTATCAGATTTCTTTTAAATTGAATACTTTGAAAAAAATTGTCACTAATACCATGCCATTTAAAGTCTTTTTTACATTATTTTGAGTTTTGAAGTCAATGGGTAATTGGTTCTCTTTATAGATAAACACTGTACCAAGCTTTGCAGATCTTTTCAGACATACATTTCTGAAGTTTTATTTTCAGAGACTGCACGTTTTGAAAACCGGTCTCTTTTCCATGTTTTCTTTAATTTGAACAGTTCCCAGAGGGCCAATTCAAACATACCCACATGTAAGATTCTCTTAAGATGGTGAAATAAATTGGCTTCCTGGTGTCGGCTCCTTGAGCCGGCACAGCACCAGTGTCTTTGTACTTCCTTTCTTCAGAGACCCCAGTCCCCACCACTGTCCAAAAACGTGTCACGTTTGGGAGGGGTTTTTAAAAGTCCCACAGTTATTTGAAGAAATACATAAATAAAATCTTTGAGGACTTTACCAAGTAATCTCTTTTGTGTTTTGATTGTGTTACAGATCTCAGTCCAGAGTTACTTTACTGTGAAATGGGTCTTTTGAACCCCCGTGAAATCAGTGACCTGCCAAATAAGTAGTTTTAGACAGATACCTGATTTTGTTGAGCTGAACTGTCTCTTTGAAATTATTCGTGCAGTAGTCGAAATTCAGATTGGTAGGCTTATCTTCTTTGCTGCGTGAAATGACAGTTGGCATGGAGACCTGTCACTCAGACAGGCACATACTGACTAAAGTTTACGTCATGCTGTGTATAGTATTCTGTCAGCAGCATACTGTCTTATTTTTATAAATACCTAAAGGCTATAGAAGAGGAGGTAATCTTGCAGTCATGTTTTTTGTGGTCCCAAGTATTTTTTTTTGTTTGTTTCATTGAGGAAGAGAAGGAGTAGGAAAGATACCAACTAGAGGTGGGCAGCTTCCAATTCAGGCTAAGGGGAAACTACACAGAGTTGTCTAAAATGAAGGAAGAATCAATTGAGAATATAAATCAGGAGACGTCATTCTGCTTTACAGTTTAACTAATATTTGAACTAAACACTCTGAGAGAGGATCCCCTGTAAGGAAGGATGTCTAATGACTCTGAAGTTTCACTTTCCTCTAAGGATTCTGTCATTTTGATTCCATTGCTGCTAACATTTGTGAAACGTTAAGATGGAACCCCTGTAGTTTCTTGTATGTAGGGTGGGGCAGCTGAATGATCAGACCATCTTATCCTTTGAGTGTGTGTCTCTTAGCTTATTAAGTCCTCACAGCTCTTGTGGCAACACTGCACCTAGCTGCCTCCTTTAAAAGTTTGATTCCCTTAGAGAACTTGAGAGGACATCTGAGTTTTAGTGAGCAGTTACAGGGTCAGATGTTTTATTTTGTAGGTTGACTGTTGTGTGGTTACTGTGTTTTTATTTCCTTAAGTGTTTAATAAAGTTTGTTTGAAAAGTTGACATTCTTTTCTTTTAAGAAAAGAAACTGAAATAAGTCTTCTGGGGTGAGTCCCATCAAACTGAATGGTAAAATTAGTCATCTGTAACTATAGTCGTGAGTCACCACAGGAGGACTTAAGGATATACCCCATGTAATCGGAAACCTGTCCTATTTGGGGAGTAAAAGTTTTGATAATACTTAGGGGAAAAACCATGATTAAATGGTATTTGAGGACTTGGCTTAAAAGTTATTCTTTATAAAGTAACTAATTTGAGCAGCTGGTTTTCCAGGAGTTTGAGGTAATTGAGGGGTTTCCCCTTTTGCTTTGTCCTGTGCTACGTGATGTTTAGAAAACCGTTGCACAGGACTTGGCAGTCTTGAGCCAGACTAACTTCAGTATATGAACACATTGTCATATGGAAACTCACGGTTTTTCTGTCATCACCTGACCTGTTTCATGGGAAGATAGCATAACTTGCATTTAGTTTTTAAATAGCACTGCTGTTTGATTATTGAGGATAATTAATACTTTAAAATTTCTTAAGTTTTTTTATTAAAATATAGTTGTTGTACAGTCTTGTTTCAAGTGTACTGCATGATGACTTGACACCTGTTTATTATATAACAGGGTTTGTACCTCTTAATCCCCTTTCCCTATTACCCCCCACTCCCTTCCCATAGCCACTGGTTTGTTTTCTCTATTTATGGGAGACTGCTTTTGTTTTGTTTTTTAGATTGCACATTTAAGTGAAATCAAGTCATGTTTGTCTTTCTCTGTCTAACATATTTTACTTAATATCCTCTAGATCCATCCATGTTGTTTCAAGTGGCAAGATTTTTTTATGGCTAAGGAGTATTCCACACACACACACACACGCGTGCGCGCGCGCGTGCACATCATATCTTCTTTATCCATAGATCTTTCCATCGACTCAGGTGGTTTTGATACCATACTATTACACATAATGTAGCCATGAACACTGAGTGCATTTAACTTTTCAAGTTAGTGTTTTTGTTTTCTTTGGGTAAATACTCAGAAGTGAAATGGCTTTTTTTAAAATTTGAGAATCCTCTATACTGTTTTCCACAGGGGCTGCATTAATGTACAGTCCCACCAACAGTGCATGAGGGTTCTCTTCCCTCCACTTCTTCACCAACACTTGTTACTAATTGTCTTTTTGTTAGTACTATTCTGGCTGGTTTGAAGTGGTATCTGATTGTGGTTTCGATTTGCATTTTCCTAGTCATGATGTTGAGCATATTTTCATGTATCTGTTGGCTGGCTGTATGTCTTTGAAAAAATATCTATTCAGGTCCATTGACCATTTTTATTTAATTTTTTTTTTCTTGACGTGGACCGTTTTTAAAGTTTTTATTGCATTTGTTACAGTATTGCTTCGGTTTTATGTTTCATCTTTTTTTTGGCCACAAGGTGTGTGAGATCACCTCCCTGACCAGGGATCAAACCAGTACTCTCTGTGTTAGAAGGCAAGATCTTAACCACTGGACTGCCAGGGAAGTCATCTACTGACCATTTTTTAATTTGGTGGTTTGTTTTTTTGATGCGGAGTTGTGTGAGGGCTTTGTATGTTTTGGATATTAACCCTTTGTCAAGTACATTATTTTGCAAATATCTTCTCCCATTCAGTAGGCTGCCTTTTTGTTTTGTTGAGAGTTTTTTTCTCCATGTAAAAGCTCATTAGTTTGATGCAGCCCCATTTGCTTGTTTGTGCTTTTATTGCCCTTGCCTGAGGAGACATATCCAAGCTATTGGTAAGAGCAATGTCAAAGAGCATACTGCCTATCTTTTCTTCTGAGAGTTTTATGGTTTTGGGTCTTAGGTTTAAGTCTTTAATCCATTTTGAGTTTATTTTGTATTTGTTGTGAGAAACTAGTCCAGTTTGATTATAATATAGCTGTCCAGTTTTCAAAATATTGTTTATTGAAGAGGCTGTCCTTTCCCCATTTGTATTCTTGCCACCTTTGTCATAGATTCATTAATCTTCTTAGTGTGAGTTTACGTCTGGACTCTCCTCTGTTCCATTGATCTGTATGTCTGTTGATTATTAGGAAGCTGATGCTCCCAGTTCTTTTGTTCTTTCTCAAGATTGTTTTGGCTGTTCAGGGTCTTTTGTGTTTACATTCAATTTTAGAATTATTTGTTTTAGTTTTGTGACAGTTCTTTTGGTATTTTGATAGAGATAGTGTTGAATCTGTAGATTGCCTTTAGTAGTATGGCTGCTTTAACAATATTAATTCCTCCAGTTCACAGATACAGTGTGTCTTTTCTTTTTTTCTTTCTTTTTTTTTTAACTGTCTTTTCATCTGTGTTGTCTGCAGTTTCTTTCATCAGTGTTTTATAGCTTGTACTTCGAAAAGTACAAGCTTTTTACCTCTTTGGTTAGGTTTATTCGTAGGTTTTGTATTCTTCTTGATGTAGTTGTAAATGGGATTGTTTTCTTAATTTCTCTTTCTGATAGTTTCTTATTACCATATAGAAATGCAACAGATTTCTCTCCAGTCCGCCCTCCATATCTGTGGTTTCTGCACCTGCGGATACAACCAAACACGGTTGGAGAAGAGTTCACAATCTGTGGTTGATTGGATCCGTGTGTATAGAACCTGCAAATGCATATGACCAACTGTAAAGAACTTGAACATCTGAAAATTTTGGTGTCCAAAAGAGGGTCCTGGAGCCAATCTCCTGTGGATACTAAGGAGCGACATATATTAATTTTGAATCCTGCAATTGTGTGGAATTGATTTATTTGAGTAGTATTTTAGTGATGCCTTAAGGACTTTCTATATACAGTATCATGCCATCTACAAGCACACTTTTGCCTTTTCCTTTCCAATTTGGATGCTTGCTTTTTTTGTTTTTCTCTCAATATTGTGACCGGGAGTTCCAATAGTATGTTGAATAAAAGTGGCGAGAGTGGGCATCCTTGTCTTGTTTTTTCTTTTTTTTTTTTCACTTTTAAATTATGGAAGTATGATAACATTAATTTGCCAACAAAGGTCCGTCTGGTCAAGGCTATGGTTTTTCCAGTGGTCACGTATGGATGTGAGAGTTGGACTATAAAGAAAGCTGAGTGCCCAAGAGTTGATGCTTTTGAACTGTGGTGTTGGAGAAGACTCTTGAGAGTCCTTTGGACTGCAACGAGATGCAACCAGTCCATCCTAAAGATCAGTCCTGGGTGTTCATTGGTAGGACTAATGCTGAAGCTGCAACTCCAATACTTGGTGTAAAGAGCTGACTCATTTGAAAAGACCCTGATGCTGGGAAAGATTGAGGGCAGGAGGAGAAGGGGATGACAGAGGATAAGATGGTTGGATGGCATCACCGACTCAATGGACATGAGTTTGAGTAAACTCCGAGAGTTGGTGATGGACAGGGAGGCCTGGCATGCTGCAGTCCATGGGGTTGGAAAGAGTCGGACACAACTGAGCAACTGAACTGAACTGAACTGGAAAATATGGGACAAAATTGCATATAGGTCCGCTGTAACAATTATTTTTAAAGTAGATAAATTAAGATTTTTAGTTGGATTTTCAGTATCTTAACTCCCCAAAATGAATAGAATGATTAGGTAGAAAAGTAGAAGGATATGGTAGACCTGAAAAGCACTAAGAACCAATTCAACATAATTAAGATTTAAACAGTTTTCACACAACAGCAGGATACAAATTCTATTCAACTTCCCATAGACTGTGAAGCAGGAAACCATGGAAAATACCTAGGGATGAAAACAAGGAGCAAAAATTTCATGGTCTAAAGGTTTTGAAATCATAAGGAGTCTTCTCACTTTAGAAATCAGTATCAAAAGATATTTGAAAATAACCCACATATTTTCAAGTGCAATGTGTCATTTGCCAAGAGAGATATTTGACTTAGCTGTTGAAAGCCTCAGGAAGGTTAAAAGACTGAAAAAACAGGGTGATTGCAGAGAAGCAAGCATAGAAGAAAGATTGCAAAGAAGAAAGCAAAGTTAATAGTGCTGCTGTTGAGAAATCCTGTTTTACATGTTTCTATTTTGTGTACCACTTTCCATGT